GCTTCTTTGTTAGCAGTGACAGATCACATCTTATCAACCTGATTCTTCCTTGGATGTCCAGGTGTCCATGGAAAAAAATAGTGGGCCTAGCATTATAGCCAGAATGTTAGCAAGTACAAGCTGAGGTGATATTAAATCCAGTCTAAAGCCTCTCCCATTGATTTAAAAGAAAGGAAGCTGTTGGCTCTGAATTCCCTGTGATGTCAGCTCTGATGTCTATGTTGAGTAGAACTTCAGCCCTCCTATGTCAAAGGCATTGCTGAAGTTTCCATAAACCAAACCCTCTGGGACTGAAATTTGAAATGATTGCTCGCTTGGACTGTCTCAAGCTGGACACTCGGAGAACATGCTTGGAAGTAGCTGGCTTTCCGGTGTAAAGGTTCAAATCTAACACCTTGAATTCCAGCAGGAAACCTACTGGCAGCCAATACAGACTGTGGAGTGATTGTGTTATAATGTCTCTCAGTTTTGAAAGGGTTACCAAGGGGCTGCTGCATTTTTCTCTAGCCCCATAGAAAGCCCCCTTCACAGTAGTGTAATCTCCAAACTGTGAAGCCTGGATAAGCTTAGCAAAGTCACTCTTTTGTCTCAGAAACAGTTAAAAAATGTGATTTGGCTGTAGGCACTCCCTGGGCATCCAGGAGCAGTCCTGGCTTCCATAGACTCTTAAAGTGCAAAGAGAAAGAATGGGCTCTTTGTATTGGGGCTGGTTGTTTCTTGGAAGCTGCGAATATTACCTCTGTCTTTCCTGAACTAAGCCTCAGCCAGATTGCCTTTGGCCATACCCCAATCGCTTATAGCCACTACTTTCTTCCTTTAGTCCTCTCTCATGGAAGTGCCTTTCCTTGGTGCTGCTCCACACCCATCTGCAGAAAGCTGATGTTTGTGACTCACATACTGTCCTTATATCCCACTAGATGACTTGGTGCAGATGCCTCCAACTCCCCCCAGCAGCCACGGCAGTGACAGTGATGGATCCCAGAGTCCACGGTCCCTGCCTCCCTCCAGCCCAGTCCGGCCAGCTGCTCGCTCTTCTGCTGCAATCTCCTCCTCTCCTCTCCTCACAGCACCACATGTAAGGAACCAGAATGTCACTAAGATACAATTTCTCCCCATGCTTCTTTGCGCTCATAGGGAACTACTCAACTCCCTGTGGCAGAAAGTTAAGGGGTTAAGTTAGTTTTACTGTTAGTCATCTCTGCTTAGGCCCAGGAATGAAATGGGGGAGCTCCAAGTCAGGACTGAAGTGAATCAGCAAGTCAGAAATAAGCAGGATGACACAAAGTTTGTGGCTCAGCTTTGGGATTTATCACAGAGAGATGAAGACTTCTGTGTCACTTGCAAATTAATGTTTTGTTCTACCTGGTGTTATGTTTCTCTCTTGCTTTTGGGAACATCAAGGTCACTCCAGAATGCTTGAGGGAGTTCCTGGTAAAGGAATAACTGAGAATTCCCACAGGAGGCATATGTATTCGCTTTTTCATGTACTACCAAATTTCCTAAAGTAAATGATAGCTTGTGGCCAGGCTCACCTGTGGGAAGCTGATGTCTTGCTATGCTGGGTGGGAGGCAGCAGGAAGTTGGGTCACTGGAGTCAAGTGGCTGCAAGGGTCTGGGAGGGCAGCTGGGGTGCAGGAGTCTGGTGGTGGCAGTGAACACCCATGAAGTGCACAGATCCTTGCTGATGCCCTGGATGCACTGATAACTTCTGCTTGTGTGTTTCAGAAATTACAAGGGACTTCAGGTCCCCTGCTCTTGACTGAGGAGGAAAAACGCACCCTGATTGCTGAGGGCTACCCCATCCCAACCAAGCTGCCCCTGACCAAAGCAGAGGAGAAAGCACTGAAGAGGGTCAGGAGGAAAATCAAGAACAAGGTTTGTTTTTACTTGTATCTTAACTATGTAGTTGAACGTTACATTGGGCCTATGCCATAGCTAGTCTCGGTGTTAGTTCAGGACCCTGTTATTCCTGTTGCCTTTGCTTACTCTCCCTAGACTTTGCTGCACTTGCTTGTTGTTGTATCTCTTTTCAAATAAAATTATAAGCTCTTTGGAGCTCATAGAACATGTTTCCATCTACAGCATTTAGCACAAAGGATGCCCACCTTTGACTGGTGCCATGGGGAGCAACCAACGGTAGATGACGTTGGCCTAGCTGGCCCTTCAGGTCCTTTTCCTATGAGACTGTGATCCTATGCATAATAAGGACAAGATACAGGCTGTGAAATTTGCTTAGACTTCCAGGTTAGCAGGATTCCCAGGGGGAAACCGATGAGCCTCCACAGCATGGATTAGTCAGTGGTTGTGATGCAAAAGAGGTCTAGGGCAAGGCATTTTCCAGACAGCTCCATCACATAGCTGCATGACTCAGCTGGTTTCTGAGAGACCCCAAGGGACATTTTAAAAAGGGTTAAGGCACATTGCAAGAGAGGTTTCATACCACGTGTCCCCTTCTTGGTTTCTTCCTTCCTGTTTTGTGGTCAGGAGCCTGGGAGGAAAGACATTTTGGAAGATGACTGCCCACTTGACTTTTGAACAGATGAAAGTGCCCATCTAGAAAGAATGGGAGGATGGGGAGATGTTTTCAGGCTCCTGGTGCTGATTCATGTATTTTTTTTTTCCTTCGTCTTCCAGATCTCTGCTCAGGAGAGTCGCAGAAAAAAGAAGGAATACGTAGAGTGTCTAGAGAAAAAGTAAGTGTCTTCTCGTCCCTCTTAAGCATCTAAGCAGGGGTGGCCTCCATATCTTCCCTGCTCTAAAGCTCCTCCACAATTCAATCAAAAATATTTCCTCTACATTGAACCAAAAGATGGCTGTCAGCTTCAAAGCTTCTTCTCTTGACTTCTCAGTATTGTACACAGGTGATCTAAAGCACTACAGCTTACAGTAGCAAAGGCACTGCCATGTTTGGGCTGGCTTTAACAGTGCTGTTTTACAAGGACTGTTAAGTTAAACATGTGGTCAAAGTGTCAGGGGTTCCAATGCCTCTCTTCTTTCCTGTGGCTTAGAGCACAGCCTTGTCTTGATGATGGCTTGCTTGATGGATGCTTGTGTGCATCCTCAGCACACACAGCTCTTGTAGGCACTGGAGAAATTTATGTTTATGTTTGGGGGCCAATTAATCATTGAATACTGTAAAACAAGGTTTGAAATGCTATTTTCTGCACTAGTATTTGGTCACTTCCCAAAGCTAGTATCTGTTTCTTAGCAAACATATTTGCTATGTGTTCCCTGTTTGCCCATGGGCATCCTGTCATACCCTTGTGCTTGGTTCCTTCTTAAAAATGCACTTCCTTCCAGCTGCCTTGTTCTGTTGGTAGAGCTTTAAAGCCCATAGTGTAGGTAGTATGTTTGGTGAGACTAATCTGTCCCTGCTAGAAGTTGCTCCCAGTTTGCACATGGAGGATGGTATGGGACCAAATTAATTTTAGTTACAACCTGCTTGTCCTGTTTATTCAGAAGATGACTCAAAGTTCATGATAGTCAGGAAAAAGCTAAAGCTGAATTTGTTTCCTAAAGTTCTTCAGCTGGAGCTTGGGTTTTCTTCTTAAAATAGGAGCTAGAGGAATACCACTTCCCTTCCCAGCCCTCAGCTTTTGTCTTGCAATGACAAGATCAATGGATTGTAACATAATGATATACTCTTAGGGAAGAAATAATTGAGGGCCCCAATTCTACAATCAGATCTATGCAGAACAGCCTCTTGTACCTCCCTTGCTGGACCTCTCCCAAGCACAGGGATCTGTCTGCTGAGCTCCAACTGCATAACTATATATTTTAAAAAATATCTCATCCTTCCCCTATGTTGTTAACACTACCAGTTAATGACCTGACTGGAGATTAGGAAAACAGAAAGATTTTGGAGAACCTACTTAACTTTTCACCCTGTATTGCTATTTGCTTGTTTTGTCTAAGTGGGCAGAAATGCACAATGAAAACAGATGAGTGGGTTTCACCTTAAAGCTTTCACGTGCTTATATAATATATCAACTAAGGGTGTGTGATCATATTGCCCTCTGGCGGTTGGCAACCCACATGGAGAAGAGTCTGTCACTTCCAGCAAGGCGGTTGCTCTCTTTATTTACATAGGTGGAAGGGTCTTTCTCTCCTGGCTGGTCAAGTTCATTCCCCTTCCTCAGTCTTGGTGTCTGTGTGTGAATTGGTGCTGACATAACTAGCAGCTCTTGCTGTGATATTTAGGTTGCAAGGTATGTGGGGTTTAAATGAAAACTAAAACCAGTATTCACTGTAATTAAAAATAGTAACTGAAACATTTTATTGGCATTAGTTTCCATCACTGGCAGCTTGCACAAAGTCCATGCTCTGAACCTAAAACATTCAACCAGGAGGTGTTCCATTAAAAGCACAATTTATACACTACATAGATTGTTCAAAGACTGGGTAAAATCATATTGCACAGTTGCATGTGTTAGAAAACCTGTATTATCAGGGTCTTGCCCATGACCATTGTTCTTTCTGGAGTAATTTTCCTTGCCCTATTTCCTGTAAATTTGCTGAATGCTTTCCCCATGTTACAATAAAAATAAAGAAATTGAAGGAAAAAAGAGGCCACGCAGACTCTCCACTGCCATCTAAGGACTAGGATCCAAGCTGCTCAAACATATGAGTTTGTGGTTCTCCTGAATACTGCTAGCAACTAGGGCAGATGCTCCTTCAGTTCACATGGTCAAGAGGCCAGAGCTCTTCTCGCAGAAGGTCCTCTGGTCTTGTTTCCCAAGTACCAGGGGCAGAATTTGCTGATGATGTAAAAGATGCTTTTGTGGCATTGTGTTCATTCTAAAATGTCCTACAGGTGATTAGAGCATTGATGACTTGGGCGGTTTCAGGAAGGGTCTCTTCCTCTGATTGTGGGTGTTTGCACTGCAGATTGCAGTGTACTATAGAGATATGTGAGCTAGCTGTAAATGAGAAGAGAAGCAGGGCACACTAGCCTGCATGCAGCTTCTTGCCACCACAGCTAGAGTGCTCTGGTACCTGAGCTACTTTGTTTGCACCTAGCTTGAGTATCTCTACACTGTACCACAGGCTGCTACATAGACATACCTTGGGTCTATTGGCTACTTTGGTCAGTCTGTAAAGTGCAAATTTACCCTGCCTTCTACTTATTTTAGAGCCAGAAAGAAGCCCCCAGAGGGAAGGAGAATTACTGTACATTTTCTAAATAACATGAATTCAGTTTTTGTTCTGACTCCTGCCCCCAGCTCTTAGGATCAAATGTAGCCAAGCTGTTCTGAACTGAGAACACAGCTTCAGGGGACACATGGGCCATAGGCTGTTCAGGGTCCAGGCAGCAGTGGAGGAGGTGCAGTGTTTGCCCATTTGGTCTGCCACTCATATAACTATCTAGCCTGGGATTTTATCTTTGCAGGGTTGAGACTTACACATCGGAGAACAATGAACTCTGGAAAAAAGTGGAGACCTTGGAAAATGCAAACAGGTGAGAGACCCTGACCCAAGTCCTGAATAGAGTGGGGCTGCTGGGAAGAGAGGACAGGGGAGTTTGGGAAGGCAAGGCAGCCCTCCCCCAATTTTTGGCAGCTCTTGGGCTGCTCAGCAGGTCCTGGTTTCCCTCCAGTGGCAGCTGCAAGTCAGCTGGGTTTGGTTAGTGAGCAGGCTTGGAATGTTTGTGTTGGGACAGCCGGGCAGGGGCCGTGGGCCGAGAGCGGGGTGGAGAGCTCTCCGCACTCTGTTCCTGCCTCTCCCCATTTGTTCTGACCCTTTTTCTGGACTTGCACTGCCATTCAGACCCCTTCACTCTGCCTGGGATCTCCAAGGTAGCTCCCATGTGGGAGGGCCCCTGCAGGCATGACACCCATCTCGCATCTCCCTTCCCCCGTCCTCTTAAGTGGAGCGTGCTGTTCAGTGATACAGTCTAAGGGAGGAAGAGGAGGCAAGGCACGTACAGTGCCAGCTTCGGATTTCCCCTGGAGAAAGAGCTGAATGGACAATGTGACGGGGCAGACTTGGGGACCTCTCGCTCCTCATCTGACCTGGGCACAGATTCCAATTGCCACCTGGCTTAAAGCAGCTCCCTCTATCTGGCACCATTGCAGCACTGCTGTCTCTCTGGCCTGTGGGAGCTCTCTTCTTGGTTAGCACCAACGACTGTCTTG